TAAAGCTAGTAAATTCTTTACGCGATAATTTATTCTTCTCCTATAGTTTCGAAGATTTATTTAATCTTTTCTTTAAAGATATTAAAGCTAGCGAATATCTCGTTAGTTTCCTCATTCTTTTAGTTACTAGATAAGATTAAGTAGTCTACTATAATAGATTTAAACTAATAAAACACTAACCCCTTAAGATATAGTACTATATAGAGAACCCTTTCCTAATTAGTAGTATACTTAGTATATTATAGAATAAATAATATCTTAAGTTAGATGAAGAATATACCTAACTTAGCCCTATTCCTATAGTAGTATTTAATCTTTAGGTTATCTTTATTGCGATCTTCGACGTAGTTAGTACTATCTAGGCCTACCTTAATAGATTCGACTAGAGAAGGGGATCGAATACTTCTATTTAGATTACCCATCTTATATTAATTAAGAGATAGTTAAAATATTATAATCGAAACTACGAATAGTGTCTAACTAAGGGGTTTCCTTAATAGATAAATACGAGATAGTAAGATAAAGTATAAACGAAGAGAACTTAATTCTAGATTATTCTAAAATATAGGTATAGGATTATTAACGAAGTTAACTACGAGTAGTCCTATCTAGAGTAGTAATCGTATATATATAGTGCTAGTAGCTTAGCCTAGATCTCACGACTCCCTATGGCTCTCTCGAGATTTACGAGATCCTTGAGATCCTAGGAGATCTAGCTTTACCAAGTCATATGATATAGCCTCGTTCTCCATCGGCTAACTTCCTTCCTTCGGACGGTCGCCTTAACTCCCTTAGCGACCCTTCAAGTGACCTGGTTCGTAACAAGAGTATAATACTATTTATAGTAAGTTATTATAAAGAATAAGATTTTAGACACTTTGTTAGCCGCGTATTTTATTTTTATCTATATTAGGCTTTAAGATTCACGTAAATCTATCGCCCATTGAAAGGAACCACTTTCTACGATCTCTTTATCCTTACTTATTCTAAAAAGTAATATTGCCTACAATATAAAATGGTATGACCTCGGGTACTCTCTAATAAACTAACCCGTATTCGTAGCGATCGTATATTTATATATATGGCCTTCGGAAGCTCTCGCTAGCGGCCACTAATAGCTGCGGGGTTGATTGACACTATAAACTATCCTATGGTGTATAGTATTCTTCTCTATAACTTCAAGCCTCTTTGTTTCCCAATAGTGAGAAAAGATAGTTATCGGCCGTGTCGTGATCTATTTAACACACTCACTATGTAGGGACGTGAAGCCTCTTAGGTAAGGACTGTATTCCGATGGATTTCACTGATTACAAGGGCGCTAGAAGGTCCGGTGGGTGTTTGTGACCTACTTGGAAGTGATAAGCTCGCCACGGGTGTCTAGGGAGGAACTATAGTGGGATCACTATCGTTAACATCTTGTTCTAAACTGCTAAAGAAGCTTAAATATATATCTCGTCGAATGAAGAACGGTGTTAGTTCACCCTAGCGCGACGGATTGAGGTAGTGTATGTTCTCTAGGTAGAGGTACCTAGCACTTTCGGTATGTGCCCTTCGCTAGGGCCATCCGAAACGTCTCTCGATACTTTCGCCGCTTCTATCTCTCACTAGACTTACTATAGCTATAGTTAGATTGCCCCGAGACTTTTACGAAGTATTTTAGTGGCTACATGTCTTGCTCGATACTACGACGCTAGCTAGACTATATCGATACATCTTTCCTCTACCCTCTTAACGTAGTACCTTTTTGCTGCGAGGGATCTATTGTTTATAACTTTCGGTTCGCGTAGATAAAAATTAAAAGAAAATATCCGTCGGGCTTTATACCTAAATTTTCAGTTACTAGAGATAGCGATGCGTAGGTTGACGCTGGAGTAGCTAAAGGTATACTAAAATTAAGCTAATGACTATACTTAGCAGTTGTTTAAGGCTAAAGTTTCGCGGTACCCTAACTTCTCACAAGTTGCTGGACGAACTGGTGAGTGTGAATGAGACTTGTCTTGGATCTAAATATAAGGGAAAGAAACAACCAACCTTCCTTAAGACGGGACCGCGGTATCCGTTTTTATGTAGGTGACTAGTCCCTCTTCCCTCATTACAGATTCGGTGGAGGCAATATTTAGAGTATCCTCGGGAAACAAGGGTGCTACTAGCCTAGCTAGAGGCTACGTAACGACTTGCTCCTAAGTATTTAGGTAGAATCCCTCTTAGTGTATTGTGAGGAAGAGAAGAGGGACGGCTGCCTCTATCGTTATACGGCATCTCCAGTTTTAGCCGCGAACGTAACCGCTGCTAATAGAGGCTTAGATATTTAAATCAGTAATCACCCTCTTTATTCCACTAGGTCTTTACCTTTAGTCTTTCTTCCAACCCCGATACCGCTGTGCAGAAAGGTATTTACTGAAACACTAGTCTCTATTATATTAACTTACTTTAATTATCGTTTCGTGCATCTAGTGGCTATGGAGGAACGCTCCTCACTTCTCAACAAGAGGCAAGTGAAGCTAAACGCTCCTGTTAGGTCCGCGATCGAAAGTTTGAATAAAGAGCCTGAACACGTAAACCAGCTTGTACCACGACGAGATGAGCTCTAAATGAGGCACCCTAGAGTTAAGAGCGAAATAAAAATCTAGTCCGCAAGCTCGGCCGGCAAAAGGAACGAATTAAAGAGCTGAAGAAGCTACTAGCTAACCAACGGTCCCTTGCTTAGGAGGAAAATGATAAATACGCGCGAACATCCTCGCAGGCTTATAAGAAGCTTCAGGCGCTTGAGGAGGAAATCAAGATCATAGAAAAGAATAATGCGGCGACGATCTCCTAAGAATGGCACAAAGCTCGGCTCCTAAGAAAACAAAATGATTCTATCTACACCAGCAGTAGATGTTAACGCACAAGGAGGCTTATATGGCAATTATAACACCGAAGAATCTCTGTAGCGTTCGGAAAGTCGACAGGGAAAGACTGAGCACGTCAGCGCCATTGGCCAAATGGCTCGTTAGGTAGAAGGGAGTCAAGTTGACTATGGCCGCCGTGCAGCCTGCCGTGCTCTCAAGTCGGCCTCGGGTGCCTGGTAAAATATCACGAAAAAGTTGACGCCCAACAACGTCATCTAAAGAAGAACAGTAGATAGTGGCAAGAACCCGATCCATTTCGTTCTCGGGAGTATAGCCGGGTATAGTAGTCGTCGCTGGATGAACGTTCGGATGGTCTTCACGATTCCTTCAAACGGCTTCGCTAAATTCCGCAGAACTGGCAATAAGTTTCGTGCAAAAGATGAAGAAGCATTTGAAGGAGTGGATTAGAGAGTTACAGGCCGTAGATAGTGGTAGTGGTGGTGCTGTATCATCTTGAAGTTCTCATCCTTATGAATTGAGGTCATTTTTTTGATTACGAGATATACCGCTAGTTAACACGTGATTTTCGAATACGCCTGCGCTCCGTACTAAAATTCGTAATCTTAGTATTATTACACAAAATTACAAACGCCGAAGGCTTGGCAAGTCACATGACTATCAAAAATACAACGTCAGGAAATGATGAAGTATACAACCGATAGAAGGGTATCGCCAATTACTCCACGACGAGACGTGTTACGATAAAGCGGTTTGGTTGGAGCTCTTCCTCATAGCCTGAGCTACAGCGAAATATGTTTGCGAGAGTTGGGAGCTATTAATTAGCACGAAATATATAGTCAAAGTATTAGTTCCTTAGTAAAAAACATACCTTCAAGTGGCCTTAGTAAAGGATGAATTGCGCACCTACTACTACGCCATTTTCTCTGCTCTCAACTAATCATGATTCCTCATCGATTAATGAATCATTGATTACGTGGATTAATCAATAACCACTGTCTCTAAAGTACGCACTCGCCGTCTCCTCACGACCAACGAACATTAGCCCTAGATGAATCAAACCCTCGAATCGTCCCTCAAACTCGGTCGCAATATCACGATTATGGCGTAAGCACTCCTTCAACTCATGAAATACCTTTTCGATCGGGTTGAGATCAGGAGAAGGAAGCTGCCATGCTCTTCTGGGATCACGCCCACTCTCAGTCTCGGTCGATTCATCACCGACCGGGACGCCCGTGTTAGGGTCTTTAGACTGCCCTGATCCAGGCCGAGAGTGACTTCTTGTTGCTCTGAGCCCCGTGGTTCTCGGTATCGAGGAGAGGGCGTGTGAGCTTTCAGCGTTTCCCCGGTGATGGAGCTCCTTCTTTCCCAAGGTAAGGACATCTCGGTCGCGACGGCGGAGATTGGCGAGGCCGGTATTCAAAATTCCTGCACTCCCAGAAAGAACATCCAATCAAGTTCGATCAGCGCCATCAGTTTCTTATTGACAGGCCCGTAGAGCACCCAGAACGGGAATTCCTAGTGGAGCACAAGTACCTGGTCATCACATGAATACTTCAGGTCATGCACACCTGATCACCACCTTCCACGGTTCCAATGGATGACTTAGGCTTTGAATCTCACGAGCTGGGTTGCGCGTCCGTATCCTCCGAATATTGACAGCTCTCTTGAACCTGTATTGACAAGAGACCTCTGGGATGCAAATCAGCTCGACATCCAATGCGCTAGGTGATCTCGATCTGCTATCACCAATCTCAGACAGCAATCCCACTTGACAGACAGTGAAAAGGAGCAAAAGATGTCCAGCAGACTAGAGCCAGCTCCACCTGAAACACGGAGAGTATAGTTTCAAAGATTGGCCAATAGTCTAGAGCCTCCTGGCCGGATGATCTGAGAGCAGTTCGAGACATGGAGGTGACTTCTTGCTAGTTTGATGGGGTCCTTTCACGGTCAACGTGTCTCTGGCCGGTGAATGTCACAACATAGGTCCACGCGGTATTTCACTAGTACCGGGAGATAAGAAGGCACGGTCTCAAAGTATAGAGTTTGGATAAGAAGGAGCGTGAACTATATGGCAAATCTATGTATGTACCGTTTTTCGCCTGCCTGAAAGATACCCTGCAATGCCCAGAAATTCAATCATTAGTCAGTCTATGAGTACATGCATCCTTCAATGGACCAGGAACTGCCATCACTTGAGCCAGATCCTAAATCCACAGAGACAGGAGTTGTCGGGTTATTGCGGGCAGTGCAGATCTCATCAACGCCTCCGATTCTGTAGTCACCACAAACCCAATACGTCCCTAGAGAGTTGCCGTAGCTGTCATAGATAGTGTTTGGCCAATTTTGCGGCGCGGGCGGAAATCCTGAGATTGTAGCATCGCAGTTAACTTTGTACTGAATATTGGTTGGCGCACACATGTCACCATCGTTCATGTTGTACGTCCTGGTGACTGTTGAAGTGTTGGTGGAAGATTCCGACCAAGCATTCGACCATCCTGCTTCCACACCGACTTCAGCTGCAAAAAATTCAAAGTTTACCCCCGCTTTCACCGAGGTCTTGAGATCGAATGTATAGGTGTGTGTATCAGTCTCAATGTGTGTAAATTGGAATTGCTCCTGGCAAGCTGCACCTATAGGTTAGTATTACGTTGCAAAACGGTGGCAAGGGAAGGGAGGATAATGAGGATCTTACAAGCAGTGTTGCAGAAGAACAATGGGTTCTTGCTCACGATGACAGGATCGGAAACTTTGCATCCTGAATAGTCGACAGTAATATCTGCATTGAAGTAGCAGGCTCCGACATGGCCATTTGCAGGGTCATTGATAGTACAAGGGACCTTGACCGATCGGCTAGCCGGTGCTGAAGATGAGCCAACGTTCCAGCTTTCGGCGATCTTTTCAGCGCACTGCATGACATCATCTGACGGTAGACATCTCCCGGCAGTCGCAGTGAGACCTCCACGGGGTACTTGCTCCCCGTTAATCCAGATGTCTTGTGCAAGCGTGCCATTTTTGACATCGGTGCGCCTCATGGTAGGATGAGCGACAGCCAGGTGTTGAGCCGTCAAGAGGGCCGCAGAGTATAGAAATAGAAGCATATTGGGAGGTCTTAGATCTGACTGAGTGGTTTAGGATAGGGCGTTGGTCGCGATGGTGTATTGGAAAATGGTTGCTTAGTTTGTGTTTGTGTTGATGAAAAGCTGCCTCTGTATGCCGGTCGTGCCTTATTGATATATCTTTTTGACAGAGGCGACAAGCAGGCTCTTGCTTGTTGAGATACTACCATGTCCGTGAAGGGATTAAGCTACGAGGAATATTGGAGAAGTCTATCGCGGTATTCTTGGTTAACATCGTTGCACCGTTGGGTAGCTCTGTCGCATTAGTTTTCTCCATATGTCGCTTGCGAAGCAGCTGAGCGGTACGAAGACGTCATCGCTATTCTAGGTCCTTATTCGAAGCTTAGTACAATGCTCTAACTGAGAGTAGGTGATATCAGGTTGAGGCTTTTGAGGCTTAGGAGCGCTTTACATAAATACGCGGTTGTAGTTAACGTAGGGTTACCTGAGAGAGAGATTTTTAGGAAGGGGCTCTTATTGGGCACACTAGTCGTTGCATCTGATTTAAAGTTGGGGTGTTTGTGTGGTGGGGAGGTGTCGTTGTTGGGCACCTCGTGTTTTCTGGCTTCTCAGCCCCTCAATTTTTGAGATAAATCACACCCTATTCTCCGCCACTCTCACTTCTTACTGGGCGTACAGCGAGACGTTTGCAAGTTCGATTTACACAGCCACATTTCACGGAGTGAGCTATTTGGAGGGAAATTTATTAATCTTAACAGAGGCTTTTGTTCGTTGTGCTGCCTCCGCCAAACTACTCATTGCAATTAATTACTCTGGCTCCAGTTCACTGGAGAGTCTTTTTCGAATAACCACACACCTACCAAGGCGGCCCAGACAGCGGAACTTTTGCCGACATATAAATTGGGTGCGTCACTTCCGTCCTGGGTGCCAAATTGGCAAGACGCTACTTCTCGACCTCCGAGGTTCAATGCCAACCACCTAGCACGCGCGTGGGTGTCTCAGAGCCGCGGAAATGCCCTCAGGCAGAGGTGGGATGACCTGAGTGACTTTCTTGTCTTACATGGCAACGTGGTTGGGCGATTCCGACGCATTCCCACCACCACCGGCGGCGCACAGCCAGACATGCTGTTTTTAGACCCGAGCATTGTATTCGGTGAAGAGGCGAGATCAAAGCTCGACAAGAAGCTTGGTGAGGCTTTTGTGAATTCCTTCGAAAGGAGAGAGGAAACTTGGAAAAAGGCGTCGAGTCACAGTTTGCGGGGTACTAATACGACAATTGAGGCTAGGCGGAGAGGCTCCAGGTCTCTAAAGCCGCCGAGCGTCAATGCGGGCGACTTAACCACAGTCCTGGCGAGATGTGGTCGAATTCTGAGAGGGAGCGACAAGGTTTTCCAAACAGAGATGGAGATGTATGTATTGTTATCAATGCTCAAGCATTAGGTTGGCTCAACACATTCCGATCCTGTTGCTGCCAAGACCCCCAAGCTCCGGCGTAATGATCCGCCGTACTGCAATTTACCACTAGCGCAATAGCCAGCTCGAGGGCCACCAACCATTTATTACAGCTCGATAAGGACCCCAGGAGATGCGGAAAAGGCCATACTAGATCGTCCCTATGCGTAATTTATATAGGGAGAAGAATAGTCGACCATGACCGTCAACTTCAACGCTGGGGTGATCATCGGGAGAAGATCAAGGACCATCTGACCCAGCAGGCGGGTGGAGTGTGAGTCGCTGACTATCTATCATTCATCATTTCTAATAAGAGCTAATCTATGTCTAGATTTCGTTGGGTCGAATGCCAGCTTCGGTTTAGATCTGAAGGAGAAAGTGCTTGGAGAGGAGCATCCCTCAACACTGGCCAGCATGAATACCTTGCACTAGTGCTTCGGCAACAGAGAAAGTGCGAGGAGGCGGGTAAGATGTATAGACGGACACTAGAGCTTAGGAAGACGGTGTTAGGGCTCGAGCATCCTGACACTCTGAAGAGCATGAGCAACCTAGCTGTGGCGAAGAGTTCAAAGGCGGCACCTCAAACCCAAACACGGGATCAAGGTCGTTGCGAAAATATCTTATGTAGGTGTCGTTGAAAGACACGGAAATCAAGACTGTCGCGAATTCGTGAATTTTGCTCTTAAACGCTTCTGTACCTGTAGCTCCTTCGCCAGCATCCTCCAATGTCCAAATCGAAGAAACTGGCATCCATCAGGGGCGTCGCTCTGACCCCTACACGCACCCGCTGTTTGTCGTGCTGTTTCCTGCTGAGAACGAGGTGACATGGCCAGAAGATCACGGGGAACTGGCCTGCAGGTTCTGATACACAGGGGGCGGTCGCATGAACAGTCACAACATGTTCATCTGTATGGACAACAAGGTGCTCCGTGGAGACGCCACATGCTTTGCGCTCGTTGGCTGCGATCGTTTAAATGAACAGTCCCATGCCAGCGGCCCTGCTAGACCTTGTCGGTCTTCAACCCTCGCGAGTGCCTATTGACGGGGCTTGGCAGTGATTTCAATGTGGGTGCCACTTGAATGCTGATTGACTCAAAGTCGTCACCGAGTACTGCGCGTCTCAGAACCTGTTGCACGAATGTGTACTTGGTCTGGTCATTGCGCTTTCTCTCATATCGCCTGCAGAACGTGGCAGGTCCTGATTCGCCCTGCGAGATGCAGGGTGTTGTGGCAGAGCGTTCTGTCAGGCTGAGCCTGCACAATTCTTGTTACATCCGGTCTACGTGCTCTAATACTCTTGTCATATTACATAGTGTATAGATTACTCTATCATTAGCTCTCGTCATCTAGCCTCTGACTCTGTATCGAGTTCTGCTGAAAATTCGCCAACACTTACACCGCCCATCCTCAAATTCAGACCCAGAAAGGGTCCTTCTCCCACCTGAGTTACGTACTCAGGAGTCTCATTGAACTGAGCGGGATATTTTTCTCGAACTTTCTCAAAAAAGCCATCTCCTTCAATCACAGTGTAATAATTCGGATACTCATAGGACGGACCAGTGACCTGAATTGTATCTTCCGATGTTTCACCACCAGCAAGCTCCAGAGCAAGACTACCACCTCCTGCTTGAAATTGCAGAACCGCTGTTGCGACTTGTCCGATCTGCTGCTCCATGGTTGACGGAGTACGGGGAACGCTGACGGTATTTGGATGGTAGTACTCCGTATACGAGACCGCTGCGGTTATTTCGCGTACTTGTTTCGGACGTTTCTGCATTGCGAAACCACCATCATGGGAGACACTAGTTGAGCTTTGGTTCAGACGTCCGAGAAAGCAAGGTTCGGCGTCAAAGAATAAGAAACAAGGTAGGTGATGCATTTAAATGCATCGCAACTATGCTCGGGGGGCGACCTCGGAACGGGCAAGGCAAAGTTATCAATTGGCAACATCAATCGAGAGGTTCTGAATGCAATACTCGAGTTTGCGGAAGCATCCCAAAGATTCAGATCCAGGGTGCCGGCGACCACGCCGAGGGACAACATAGGCCGTAACGAGGCACTAAGTTCGCACATGTAAGATAGTGTCACCACAAAGAGATAGGTCGAGAGACAACCTTAGTAGTATGACCCTGCATATCCCTCGGGAGAGGTCAGGTGTAATTGAAGTACCACCACCACTGCACTTGAGATCTAGGCACTAGTGATGCTGGACGATAGTCTACTGACCATAATCATAAGTACTGTAGGCGCCGCAGTTAACGCCGCAGAGATAGTGTTTCAGACAATGTATATAGGGTTTTAGAGCCCGCATAGGTAGCCACTCATTGTTCCGCAGCAAAGAATGGTCCATCATTTTTGGTGGACGTCTTACAAGTGGACAGCGTACAAGGGGTTCCGGCGCTTAAGATGCAGTGGGATTACACTAGCGCTAACCTGAAACCTTTTCCGGTTGCGACCACATCTGAAGCGCCCTCCCGGGGGTCAGTGTTGTGGTTGCATATTGTGCGGATTATGGGATGGCACGGCACAGGACGAGAGGGCCATTTTGGGGTACTCTCTGTAGTGAGTTGGTCGCGGCCGGAGCTTAGGCCAGTCTTACGGCGTTAGAAGAACATCAGTTCAATTTACTATACAGAAGACTCCGGCGCCGCGCCTAAAGTCGAGATCTGATAGGGCGATAAGTCTGAGAACCTCTTAATAGCCGAGCTCCCTCTTGACTCAGGTGCAGCACAGATCTCGCGTATTTAGTCCGATGCTCGACACAGCAGAACCCACCTTAAATCCCCCTAGTCTTCTATACTGCAACCAGCTGGTTGAGCCAACTACCGCGCCTACCATTGATTTGTGGTCGATCCGGAGCCACATCTTGAAGATGCCAGTGGCAAGCTTCCTGCTGATATTTCAGGTAGCTAGATAGCTGTTTAAAGGTTGAGTGCCTATAATTTTCCAAGAATTGCGCCAAATTTCTTTTTTTTGGGCAAAGCCTAAACTTACAGAGCATCTTGAAACTATTTTAATCCCTCAACCATCAGCATGTTCTATCGCTTACTTTCTTCGAAACTGCGTATCCTCTACAATTACTCTACTATCCTTTACAGTAAGGATATTTAAAGCCGTTTATTCTAGAACGTTGTCTGAGAAAGTTGTTACGCTCCTCGAACTGTAATTTACTACGCGCGTTATCAGATACTGAAATATCTTGACTATATAGCTAATCCTCTTTGGCGGGCTTAACTTCCTCAACTAGCCGCAGTGGTGAGATTATTATAGGGCTTAGGCATTCTATGCCTTACGTTAAGTAGGAGTGGATACGATCCACATCATTCCAACAATCCGTGTTCAGAGGATGATAGTGACTGCGCATGAAGGCTGTGTTAAGGTTGTGGTAAGGGATTGGAAGTGGATAGGCATAGAGCCATCTCATTTCCTCTATTTGGATTTGTCGGCAACTGAGAGCCGCCGACCTTTATTGTGCCCAAAAGGGCCACTCACCTTCGGCGGTAACATCTTGGATCTATAATCATTCGAAGACCTATTTAATGTTCTTCAGACCCAGGAGTAGATCGTCATCACCGACACAGTTATCTGTTCATAAATCTTATCTATCATACACCTGTATTATCGTTCTGCTCTTCTGTTTCTCCCTTGCCTGAAATCCTGCGGTTAGAAGGAATAATGGGCTTTTGGGCTATCACTGCGGTGTTCCTCACTATCTGCAATATCAGGTTCGGCTTGCCGAATCCCTCGTCTTCAATCAATTCGGTATCCCCTTCAAAAAGGCAGGAGACACCCGCCACCTCAGCCACTCTACAAGCCGAAAGGTACTTCCATAACTGCGAAGGCTAATTGGACAGAGAAAAGGAGGCGTGGGACGACGCCAACAAACTGTCAAATGCTGCGTTGAATTGGCAGGCGAACGGCAACTTTCAACCTGATGCCGACTTGTACATGGGAAATGACTCCACCACTCCTGGGATGGTGGACCGTATCTCTCGTCAGTCCTACTCATCCACTGGTTTTCCCAGATCAACAAAGAATATCAGACATATACTCACAGGTGGCAGAGAATCTCAAAGGCGCCGTGGCAGCTCATGGACGCAATTGGATCTGGCCCGACTCTTCGATTGATGTATGGTGTGAGGAGAAAGGTGCTGATGGGTTTCCGCCCGTTCCAGACGACAAACCGCTCCCATGGCTTGGAGGGTGTGATGTGGGCACCTTCGCTTACAGTTATATTCGAAAGAATGCTTACTGGTTCCACACCGGCTATACCATTGTCTTTCGCCCGAGGATGTGGAGATCCGTCACTCTTCCGGGGGTGGGAACGTTACCGGGGAAGCGAAGCTTGAACGATGTCTTGTCTCTGGCTAGAAGCATCCAGGAAATAGCACAGAACCCAGAGTATCTCGTTCATAACCGTGGCGAGACCTATCTGCATGAATTGATGCATCTCGATGATCTGGTGAGTAAGCCAACCATCGAAGACATTGCTCTAGGACCTGCTAGGGTGGCTAAATTGGCTTCCCTCTTTGGCACCAACCAAAAGCAGCCGGACACCATTTCCTCTATCGATGGATTTTAGGGCTCGACGATTAACGCTGATAGTTACGCCGTCTTTGTCAATAGCATTTACTTCCGCGAGCAGCTAAAGCAATAGTCACACCCTGAGCCACCTGAGTGGGAGGATATTGATTCAATTGAGGTATCGCCTAGACCGAAGGAAAATCCTAGTTTAAACGACGAGCCGAATCCCGAGTTTCGTACTTTCAACACGACCCTTTGGCTCGAAGCCGGATCGGACGACATTCCAGACAACACCCCGGTTCCTGCCCACGAACCGCCTCCGGCTCCTCCTCAATGTCTCCCAAGCAACACTGCGGCCGATCCCTCTCTGTTCATCGACCTAGCGGGCAAGTTTTGCTCCCAGGTTGTGAGCGTAGTTGCAATTGTCCTGTCTTTAGACGAGACCGCTCTAGACCCTCCGGTGATGGGCGCCACGATCAAAACCACGTTCAGCTACACGCCGGCCGAGTCCAGCCGGTTCACATGTGCCCTAGATTGCGTCGAAACGTTCAAGCATTTGGCAAGCTCCTACCAAACCAATAGTCATACCCTCACCGGTCGAGCCGATGTCGTCATAAGATGCGGCACATAGGGTTTTGAGATTTAGCAAGCCGCTTGAGGTAAAGTCTAGCGAAGACAAACGCGGGGGATTCGAACCATTAGAAAGAAATGGCAGTGGGGGCCCAATTCTAGTTTCTTCTCTTCCTCTCTTCAAGGTGTTTTGCAGCGGATGTATCCCTTGAGTCGCCAAGCGAGGACATTTTTGTCTTAGCGCCACCCCAGCTCATTCTAAAACCATTTGCATTTCGGTAACCCCAGGAATTCAACTGCTTCCTACACTCTAATTACTATGTATGATTACATAAGACCTTGTAAAGCAACCCCCATTTGATACAAAGATGCACCTTGCAAAGACTACATCCAGTTCCGACCTTTTTTGACGGAACACGGGAGGTTTCCGGAGGAGCAATACCGATGACCCCGCCGAGTACTACACTTCGCCTTATAACGGCTACATCACCCCCGGCAACGCAGTCACCACCGTTTTGAGTGCTAAATACGCAATATTTGCGTGTAGGCATCCTCACAGAGTAGTGGCGACTGCTAAATCACGTCCTGGCGGGTGAAATTGGTGGTGGAGGAGAGGGGTCTTTGTAGGCGAAAAGCTCACTAATTAACTCCTTCCGAAATTTATAGTGGGAATGACGGGACGAAAACGCATTAGGAGGCTGGTAGGACCTCTGGATTAGGTATAAACTAGTTAGGTAAGTGTTAAAAAAGTCAGTACGCCGATAGGCGCCACTTCCTCCGTCGCTGGCACGTAAAATTAGATCGCATTTAGTCAGCCAAATCGACTAAGTTATAGGCGTTAATTGCCTTAGGTAATAGCAGTTGTTTAGTCGACTCATCGCCAAAGACTGCTGCGCCGACTACGTTATTTAATGGTCTCCTACGAGTCTTGACAACGTAATTCTCTGGGCCCTCCTTCATGCTAGATGCGGTGGTAAGACCTATTACCAAGACGTTTTCCTGCCACAGAAAGCGTAGGGTATGGTCCAGGAGTTCCGTAGAGTAAGATCCGTAAGTAAATTGCTTATTTGACGGGTTTGCGGTGATAAATCGGGCTGGGAAGTTCTCACGGGTTTTGCGTGTTGTACCCATTACGCCAAACCCGATTTTGAGTAATATATGCGGAAGTTCCACGGTGAGGAACAAGTTGTCAAGGAATAATAAGTAATTTAGCCCTGGCCAGTGATCACGGAGTTCCTCGCAGAGGCTCTTGGGCACCTGATAAGTAACAGCAAGTTGAACCTTAGGCATACCGGGCATTTGCTCAAACCAACGCCGTTTATCCGTCGATTCAGGACCTTGCGCCTTGGAGTGCCAGCGCCAGGACCAGATATAGCCGTCTATAGCGCCTAAAACCTATATTTTGAAGCCTTTTGGTATTGGTTTTGAGGGTGAATTCACGACGTGCATAGATCGCACTGTAAAAGCAACCATTGCCTCATCAACAACTATCCATTTTGATGGTCGACAGCACTTTGGCAGGCCTCACGTACTCGGCTTGCTATAGGCTCAATTAGAGCCCACCAGGGAGTCTTCTAGTTAGTTACTGTAGTGAGGCGTTAAAGGTTAAGTATCGATGGATCTAGTCCCAGCGATTTCTTGACATATAACGGTATAATCCATGAGGACTTTCGCCATGCGAGACACTCCAGTAGTCCTGGCGGCTTCTCTCTATATAGTTTGCCATATAAATGAGCCCTCCGAGCTACTTGAGTAGCTCAGTCGGCGAAAGAAGAGACTAAGGTCGACGATGAGGCTGAGATTCGACACGGGCTTCGAGAGCAGTCAGTATCGACTTGTGTATTAGTGTAGTAAATAGCGCATTGGGCATATCTGCCAATTCATGAATCACTAGGGGACTTTTTGTTAGGGGGTTTTTTCATTTATAGAAGAAGAGAGCACTTGCGATTGCTCCCATACTACTTTCTTTACTGGAACTCTACCGGAACGCGTTGATTGAGCCATAATGATTGCTTTGTGTATCTAAATCGAGAAGCGCGTTTTAAGTTGGAGTGACGCCAAGACAAAAATGTCCTCGCTTGGCGACTCATTGACGAATTTCGGGGCGTTCTTTGACGATGCACTATCTAATCTCTTTCCTATAAATTGAGTGGTGCTTTAAGCTAGAAAGGCCGAATCCCTATGAATGAGGCACTTATTGCTGCTGAGAAATCCCTGTAGAATCTCTGCCAAGAGCCATCCGTTTGCCCATTACGGTAGAGGCATTGGTACTAACACCTCGTGTCCCGGCTCGGCCTAACAGGGTTTAGCGCTAGCGGCCGGCTTATCGATAAGAATATCAATAGTGCAGACAACTCCCGCCCCTCCAACTTCCGACCTCTCCTCCTCGCGTGAGATTTGGTATTTCTTTCTTCATGCTTCGGACGTCCTGTTCAAACACTGTTTGCGGTCAATATGATACTACTAATATCTTCCTGCCTCACCCTAGCGTTGGTCTCCGCTAGTCGGCTATGTGAACATTGCTGGCCAACGGAGATATTTGAGCAACCTGCCATTGGGCTTGATTTTGGTCCGACTTACGGGTACGCTTTCACTTACACCAGCTGCAGTAATCTTACTTTCTGTCTTTACGACTACTTAGTTGCTAAAATACTCGTGTCACTTCTATAGGCGCGCGGTTTTGAAATGGGCAAATGGTACGGTTGAGCACTTGGCGGAAATCCCGGGTGACTTGGAATATGTATCGACCATGCTCGAGATCCTGCGCAGCTCTCGGGATCAAGATTTGGAAGTCGTTCTCCCGTCGGTGAGTCAGCAATCGATACCTTAAGACGATTATACTCTTTGGAGAGGTTCTCGTGGGGAGGCTCCGCAGTCACTAAAACAAATTCAGTCGTCAATATCAACGACAATGGCATTAACAGTCTTCAAGTCCATGGGACAACAGCTTCGAGAAGAAGTCGAAAAGTCCCTCTCATATCCAATCACCATGTTGGGCGTTGCGCATCCTGTCTTCTTCGGCAAGAAGGATCGAGATAGCCTAAGAGACGCCGTCCTAGAAGCCGGTTTCAATCCATCTCGAAGTTTTCAACTGACCAGTGGCCATTTCGCAACGGCCGCCGGATACCGTGTCCGACTGTGTAGATGTCCGATGCTTAGGGATTTATGCTCCGAACTCTCGCCCCGTGGGAAGGAAATGGTCTTGTACGTCGATTACACCGAGTTTGCGATTACCATCGTTCTATATGAGGTTACTAAACCCGAAGAATGGAACAACGGAGGGGTTTTTTATGTGCAAACAGTCCCCAAGGATGCCGCACATTATGGGGTTCACGGTAATGTCAATGTGGAAGAAAAGCCAACAGTCTTACCAACAGCATCATCCGACTTCTGGAACAAGACTATGGAAATTCTTAGAGACATGGCATCGGAGACTCTCCAGAACAGAGTAGATTATCTCCTTCTCACCGGTACCCAGGCGGCGGATCACGAACTTCACGAGGCTCTCAAAAAAAGTTTGGGTGCAAGATTCAATCGTTTTCCTCTCCCGAGAGATGCTCCTTCAACGCAAAACTGGCTGTTCACCCCTCAAAACGCCGATCCGCTTCTTGTGACCGCCCAGGGAGCCGCCGACCTAAGCTGGCGGGCGGAAATGGGGAGGGATTGTCTCGACCCTTGTTCAACTTGGAAGCATCATGTCCCACAGTGCTTGCCAATGACATCGGGTTTCCGTGCTGGAGCAGGCTCACCACATCTATCGTTGGATTACGGAGCCGCTACGAATACTGACGTGGACGAAGTAGATTTACGCGACGGCAACGAAAATGGCATCTCTTCAGCATCAAACGCACCAGATTACCTCCCTAGTTCGGCATGGCAGTTATTCATGGGCGGCGAATTAGCAATGGAGGGCATTCAACACCCTGACAGGACTCGCGTCGGCTGACGAAGCATCGTTCAATTAGCGATGTTCGGATATGTCGCCAGTCAACCCTGTCCCCAAGAGCGTCTGGGCGAGTGGCATTGAATGGGGAATCGAGATGGTCTTGTCGCTGATTGATGGCCATATGGAATTGCATATAACGGGAAGGTTGGCCGTTGCTGAGCTAAATACTCATCCATAAGCTTGAAACAGGCTCACGTCGGAGAGCAGAAACAAAGATTCATGGTTGTTGGTTTGGTTGGTTGCCTGTTGACCAATAAGTAAGTGACCAGGATGAAGCAGCAGTTAAAAACGTGTGTAGTTCAACTGATCTTTGGGAGATTTCACGACTAGAGTGTTGAAGTCGCAGTAGAAAAGAGACTTTGCTTAGGAATACTTACTAGATTTCTTACAGAGATGTCTAAGCCGGAGACAGTTCAAAGATTAAGATTCTCGATCTAGTAGATACCCTTTTGTACAAATATATCTAACACTGAATTTAAGCAACCCTATTTGTTTGCTCACTTCCTCACTGTGATCCCGTGACGTTGATGCGACTTTGGGTAACATTTAATCTAGTAGTTCATTTATTATTAAACTTCTTATTTTTCCTTAAGTTAATATTAATATATTGATTAACATTAAAGATAAAGTAGATGATAAGCGAGTGGGCCACCTCAACCTGACTACCCACACATTTTATGACTGCACACCACTACAACGCTGTAAATTGTTTCTAACTACTCAGGTAAGTGAGTCCGAACTATACTGTAACAGACGTTGACACAGTGCCGGTAATTTAACGACAGCATGCGAACACCCCAGGACGGGATGGAGTTTCAACCAAGAACGACCCTTTCTGGTCTACATGACTACCCGAGAGTCTTATAACACTTTGAGCAAGCTGGCACCAAGCGCAGAGTCAAGTTGTCGCGAAAAATGTCCTTTCTCGGTGTCCACCGCATTCAAGTCTTACTATATGCCTTTGAAAGATGATTTAGTCTTGACCACGATTTTGGCGGGTTCGCCACCATCTCAAACGGCGGCAACATCTGAGACTTCTGCGCTAGCACATTCTAACCCCCTGAGCAATGAAGTTGTTGATAAGTTACACCCAAGGCTGAAGTGGAAAGAGTGTGCCCTACGTGCGCGCTATCAAGTGATGCTCGATAAGGTGAGTCTATCTTCCAAAAAGCCCATTCTTTCTACTGAACCTCCACATATCCAAAACCCGGTTCGCCCAGCTTCCGAACTGATATGCCCAAGAAGCTGTACACCATACCGCAGGACTTAATTATTCAATGGTGGTTCTAAACACAACAGAAGATTCTCACTTTCCATTACACTTTTACTGGCCATAACTCCGTTGAGGTTGGAGCTAGACAGAAGTATATTCCCAGACATAGCAGTCAACTTAAACGTTCGAGAAGATCTAGCGGCATTGGCTAGGGCACAAACAGCGGAGCCAATTGCTCTAGGATCTCTGCCAATTCACCAGGTTCGACAGGTTTGCCCGTACCATTCGGGGAATCGCTCATCTCGAGCACCTCCGTGTGCTCGGTACGTAATATGTGCAGATACCCGTTCGAGGCGAGAGAAGACCCAAATTTCGAGACCTGCGTTGCTCCATTCCTCGAGGCCGCTATATCTAGCTCAAGACCTTCCGGCAGCACAAACTTAAACACGCCGGTCTTTCGCGCACCGAGCTTTTCAGCTTAGGAGAGAAGTAGTATAGCATCACGATATTAGGACGTGAAAGGTATCAAGACCACGATACTATACTCAAACCGATTGGGGATCGCGTCGAAAGTGGGTGATATAAGTGTCGCGGGAAGACAGGGGGAATAGTTATCTCTCGCGAATTCTATACGAATATCGGTATTTCCTTCTTATTATTTAAGGACTCCAGTTCGTCTCGAGGAAGATATTGTTCTCCTCTAGGTGTCCGGAGTCGTAATAATTTGATATTCACATTACTTTGCTTTAGTATAGGACGCCTTTTAGCAATATAAATAGGCGTGCGTAGTGGTATATTACGTATTAAACCCTTCAATCTATTTATAGGTGCTATAGAAATTTAAATCACTCTAGAGTTATTCTCGAACATATTGAATCTCCGATGAACAACGAGATATCACGTCTCGTAAAGTAGAAGCCCACTTCGGCTCTTCGTAGTACGTTTAGTCTTTCAGGAAACTAGTTAGGTTACCGACACGAAGATTGAGAGATAACTTAATATCGTTTAGAGCCACTTCTACACCGGTAAGTTTTGCGATAAGATCGGATATTGGGTCAATTCGAGATAGGGCGACGATAATATTAAGTATAAAATAGGGTGTGATAGGTTTATTTTAGTGTCCGAAGTTAGCCAACGAGTATCTTGGCGGTGTACGGGCCATAGTACTATTCGTAGGCGCTTATGGCCCGTGCACGCCAAGAAATTATAAGCTGGCTACTATTCTAGTTGTAGGTTATTCGGGTAGGCCTGCAAACTATAATAACTGATTGTTCGAGTGGTGCTATCTACAGAATCCGAGCTTCGCGACCTCGTGTCGTCTGAGCTGGACCCTCTTTTGGTGAGCCTCATACCTTTTACTAGTAGCTTCGTCGCCACTAGCAATACCTTCCTTAACGAGTTCATTTAAGAACTTTGCGAGAAGTCAGCCTTATTAAAACACAAGTAGTGGGATATGCAGGATTAATAAATAGGACGTGGGAGGGTCGTGTATAAGCGTGCAGTCGCCGTCTATTAGCACCATGATAAATGCGTTTCTGTCCATGGTCTTTTGCATGTCATCCAACTTTTGAAACAAATCATCGAGCTGAGTTTTGCGAGTATAGTCTGCCTGCCTCACCTCGATGAGCCACCTACGAAGATCATCCATACCTAACGTGGCTAACATTAAGTTAGACTGCCCCGTGCGTAGATTGAATTTTCGATGCGAGGCCTGAAGGTTAAATGAACCTAAAGGCTGAGCCGCTTACGGTATGAGCCACCTCGCACCTAGGAATGGTGGGGTGAATGGAAAGCCGCAGAAAGTTAAAGAACAAATTCTAGGGTAGGCTGGTTTGCCCCCTTATAGGTTCTTGGTCGTGAGTAGCTTGTATCAAGATAAAATCGTCGGGCGAGCCATTTGAAAGAGTATATGCTTGGTACGCCGGAAGCTAGTGCTGTGGCATCTCCCGGTATTTTGAGTACCGAGTAGTGTCGTATTCCCCGATATTTCCGTATACGCAGTCGCAGTCGCCATACTCTTTGTTCGCGCCTAGAGGCCAAAATTCGTGAGAATGTGCTTAACATTTATTGGTCGTTCTAGTTGGGTGTACGTGGGAGATAGGGTGCTCTAGACTCATCCTAACAAATTAGAACTTAATGTCTACCTCGCGCAGTAAGTTGCGTAATTCATCTGGAGTTCTCGAGATCTAGTTGAACTTATAACTAATCGGTTGGAAATAGATTTTAGTTGCGAGAACCACCCCTTCGTCTTGAAACCTGTCTCCGAATATAAAAGCACGTAACCTTAACTAGCGGCAGGCTCAGTCACCTATAGTATCAGACCATTACCTGACTGTCAACACTGCCTTAGCAAACTCTTATGGCGCCTCCATAGGAAAATTGTGCCTAATCTGAAGCTTCTAGTGTTTATATTTCGCCAAAAACATCCCCTGGCTCTACTTTTTAGTGCCTCCTGGCTTTAAAGGATCTTGTATCCCGTTAACCGTAATTACTGGTACCTAGACCTTCGGCTTCGTAAGCAGTCGGTCCTCGAGCTCTTTGTACCTTGGATCCGTATTCGTGGCACCAAAGGCATACCTATAATGGCTCGTTATAATCCCCACAAAATCATCGTTGTTAAAGGCCTCGTTAGCAAATTCGAAAAGGTCTTCCCTGAACGTCCAATTAGGGGACCACTATTTCCATAGCATCCTAGTAATGTTTTGCCTATACAGTCTCAAGCATTCTCCACCGCGCTCGTATTGGAATAGATATTGATACTACATATTCTTCTCCAGCTCTGGTTCACAAGCATGCTTTCCCGCTTCGATATCAAGCACGTTATATCCTCCAGAGCAGACCAATCCAGACACTCGTTCAGGGAAGAGAGCTGCAGCTGTGCAAGATGCCAATCCACCCCAGTCAAACCCTACCAGAACCGCTCTCTGTACCTAGAGGGCGTCCAAGAACGCGATCAAGTCACTAGCGAGCGCTGCTTGCTGGCTACTTCGTTTTGTGTCTTTCGACAGAAAACGGGTAGGACCATAGCCTCGTAGATATGGTATAATTACTCGCGCACCCGCTCTGGTGAGAACCGGAGTTACTTCGTTATACACAGCCGGGAAGTATAGAAATCCATGCGAAAGAATAACTGGCCAGCCATCACTGGGGCCGAGATTATAGTAGTGAATTTCGAGTATGTCGGTCTTAACAGACGGCATTGGTTATCAGTGCTACGTAGCAGATACGAAAGGTTTTTGATTGGTCGCAAACCAACGTAGCGTTTGCATAGAGGCAACTGGACGTTTACCACTGCATTTTTTGTATCAAGTGCTTAACTCGTCTACCCGTGGTGCGCCCTTCTTAAATCGCCCGGCATTAATAGGCCATTGACGGCTAGAGAGCTTCTCTTGCGTCACTTTGTCGGGATCAGGGTCGTGCCTAGTGCGCCGGACTATGGGTGATGCAGATCTATCCTCTTTCGCCGTTAGTATGCTACCCTAAGTTCCCTGATCAGCTTTCTATAGCGTCGAGTGGAACTCCCATAAACCCTATTACCCTATTCGGGGACTAGCAACCGCAAGAATGGTGCTTAGTGTTGCCCTCGGCACGTCATCGTGCAGGCACAGCCTTACGTCAGCATACGCGCAACACCACTAGGGGTTGTTAGAATTCGTCTGACACGCAACTTAGAGGATCCATTCGTAGAGTATTCGCGAAAGTTGTTCTCTAATTTTTCGTCGACAACTACTATGCGAAGGCTAACATTCCTAGCAGACCGCCCGACGACCGAGATTCGCCAATAAAT